TCGTATAGCTCCCATATAAAGATACCTCCCGATGTTCAGTGTTTTGATGATTTTTGCGACATTTTTCCACGGGTTAATTTAAAACAGTTTGGAATGAATTTGGATATTTTCAAAAAGTAAAATCATTTAAAAATTCTGTTTAAATTTTAAAAATAGCGAATATAGCCGTTTTATTGGGGTCTGTATGACGTGAACCTACAAAGGCATTGTTTGTCATAAGCCATTACCATATTCAAATTCGATAACTTGAAATATACGGTGAATAATGTAGCTAAAATCATCAAAATATCGTATATAGGGAGGTACCGTTATATCGGAGCTGTGTGAAGACCTGGACCAACCAGACAATTTTCTGTCAGAGGCTGTAGCATCCATTACGAAGTTTAAATACGACATATCAAACAATATCGGCGGGTATTGTACCTAAACTCGTCAAATAACCGAATACAGGGAAGTACTGATATATGGGCGTATACGAATTTTCTATCTATATACGGCTATACGAAGACGTGGACCTGCACAGACAATTTTCTGTCATGGGCTGTAGCATCCATTTCGAACTTCCAATGCCAAATATGAAACAATTCCGGTGAATAATGTCGCTAAAATCATCAAAATACCGAATATCGGGAGGTACCTTTATATGGGGGCTATATGAAAACGTGGACCTACATGACCCATTTACGAACTTAATCTGCCTACTGACAAAATAAACATGTGTGCAAAATTTTAGCCTTCTATCTCAATCGAATGATGGCGTGATTACAACAGATAGACAGGCAGACAGACAGACGGACATCGCTAAATCGACTTAGAATTTTACGCTGATTAAGAATATGTACTTTGTTGGGTCTGACATGAGTATTTCGAGGAGTTGCAAACGGAATGTCAAAGTTAATATACCCTCCCTAGTATGGCGGAGGGTATAAAAACGATATTTGTTGTTAATAACAGGTTCCAGCTTCGGTGACAAAACATTTGTTATATAGGTCCACGAGTTCGAATAGCCCCCATGTAACGGTACTTCCCGATATTTGGTATTTTGACGGTTTTACCTACATTTTTCCAGGGATTTGTTTAAATATTGATATTTGTAGTATGTAATGGTTTCAGCTATGATAGAGGGACATTGTACATTCACGTTTTTGTATAGCCCCCGTATAACGGTACCTCCCGATATTCGGTATTTTGACGGTTTTACCCACATTTTCCACGGATTTGTCTAAAAATTGGTATATGTAGTTTGTAATAGGTTCTAGCTCCGATAGAGGGACATTGCACATTTACATTGTAGGTTCACGTTTTCGCATAGCCCCCGATACCTCCCGATATTCGGTATTTTGAGAGTTTTATCCACATTTTCCACGGATTTGTCTAAAATATAAATAAATTAAAAATCTAGTACCTTCGGATATTATGTATTTTGACGAGTTAAGCCACATTTACTAATAGATTTAAGTGAAATTTGGTACTTGTAGTTTATAATGGGTTCTACAACCGGTGCCAAAACATTGTCCTTATTAGTCAACGGTTTCTATACAACGGTTTGCTATTTAATATATAGACTGATATTCGATATTTTGATAATCCTAGTCACATTTACCCACGAAATTATTTCCAATTTGGAATTTAAGAGTCGCAACAGATTATAATTTTTGTAGTATAAAATTGTCCACATAGACTCCCGTTATTTATGGTCCCATGTAACAGCTTCAACCTATATATTGTTTTTTAAAAACTCTAACTGCAATTTCTACCGATATTTATGGAGATTGTAGTTTAACGTGAAATACGTTCGAATCCGTATACTTTTGTATAAAAATGTTTTCTTTAGCTAATGGTGTTTTTATACCCTCCACCATTCTATAAAGGGTATATAAACTTTGCCATTCCGTTTGTATATCCTCGAAATATTCACAATAGACCTTACAAAGTATATATATTCTGGATCAGCGTAAAATTCTTAGATGATCTTTCCGTCTGTTGACATCACGCTATCTTTCGAAGAAATTGAGATACAAGACTAAAATTTTGCACACATATAGTTTACCAGTAGGAAGGCTAAGTTCGTAAAAGGGCTATGTCGGTCCACGTATTTGTATAGCCTCCATATAACAGTACCTCCCGATAGTCGGTATTTCCATGATTTTTGCGACATTATTCACCGTAATTGTAAATTTCGTATGCAGTTCCACGTCTCCGTATTGTCCCCATATAATAGTTTTTATTTAAGTGGTAATTTTCGGATTTTTTTTTTTTTATTTTTTTTAAGTTCCTTCTAAATTGTGGAGGGTATTAAAAGTTCGACCCGGCCGAACTTAGCTGCTTTCTTACTCGTTTTACTTGTTTCTAATAAGCATTGAATGTAATGTATAGTCTTATTCTACAAATGGAATTGTCATGAGTGAAATATTTTGAAAATGAATGACATTCAAGCTCGTACATATCAACAATATCGAACCATATTTTGAAGTTACCCTCACATAATGGCATTTCACACTTATTGGGGCAAAAAAAAATAAAACAATGTTTATTGTTTAGTTTAAGAATTTCGCTCTTCCTGGCTAAACTTGAATCCATCTTTTCATGTTGCCGTAGTAAGATAACATTGAAAATCAAACCGCTTTTTTGTAAACAATTGTAATTACTTATATAGCACTGTTTTTTACAACATGTCCGGTACAATATTATTTATCGTTAGGTATGTCGTTGGTTTTATTTTAACGTGTTTTTTTCTGCGGACTCGATGTTTGTAAATAAATCTGTAAAGATTTATTAAATACGAGCTCAAGAAAATAAGCAATATCACGACATTCACCGTGACGTTGCTCCTTCAGCTTAGTCAGCAGTTTTTTTTTTTTTCTATTTTAAGAATTTAGGATGCCTTTTCGCTCGAAAACGTGCCTAAGTGTTGGTCTGGGCAGTCTGTGTGTATTCTTAAGCAAACATTTTTGCGGCACAATGGCATTACTGTAAACACAAACCTCAAATATGTTTCGTTCTAATGTTTACTTTTAATGTCGGGGACATTTTGGGAAACCATAAATGACGATAAATCCTCATAAAATACCACATTTATGGTTGTAGAAAAAAAACAGAAACTGAAACTGAAACAAGGAAGTGGATAGTAATGGAACAAAAAAAATTTTGCCAGCTTTCCTTTGTATTCTTTGTGAGTTAAACGCTACAGAGTTCTGGTGAAAGTCTTTGACACCATCTAAAAACGACAAAAGCCTCATAAATTTCATGAAAATGACAGGGTTACAAGTGGTCATATTGTTGGTGTTACATGGAACAGGTCATGGAATGATAAAATCCAAGAATTGTTGATGAAAAATTGTGTCCACAAACACACATACTTTAAGACTATTTGAAATTATTTGATGTGGGTCAAATGGACATTTTAAATTATTAACATAATTCACGACAAAATAAACACTTCGGATTAGATTTGAGAGCTTTCAAGAATACAATATTCGTTAGTAAAATTCGCAATTCTTAGAGATTTTTTATTATTTTGAATTCTTGGCATTTTTTATTCCTGAGAGGATAGATTTTAAAGTTCCAATTCTGGAGAATCTGATGAATGCCATAGACTGAACACAAAAAAACAAAAAATCTTTGTTACAATAGCCAAGAAATAACAAAGAGAGGCAGGGGGCTTTAAAGACGATTACGGTCGTGGAAACTACTTTTTCTAATTTTGCAAAGAAACCGGGATAGTAGCCAACTGAATTTCCGGCAAACTAAATAAAAACCTTTAGGTTGGCGTAGTGCGCCTGGTTAACAAATATATTGTGGCATCTCCAACAAAGCGTAGTATAAATGTCAGCATGTTGTGGATTGAATTAGGGCGGAATTTTCCATGGACTATCTGTCTGTATTCTAAGAACTTAGACATTCTACGTCTCGAAAGCTGTACACTGCAATACTGTACCAGAAAATCAACCATCTAGACCAATTTACGAGAAGAATGGATCCACCTCCATTCTGGGAAATGATATTTCAACCAGATAAACCGGATAAACATATATAAGGGAGCTATATCTGAACCGATCTCGAAAAAAATTGGGCCAGGTATTTTTGAGCTGTATTTTATAGCTTTTCCCGAGTACCGTACTTATGGAGTTCATATTACGGCTCTGAGGAACAATAATAACATATCGGATGAACAATACATGGGATATTTGACATACTTGTTTCTAGGTTTGGTCTTATGTGCTACATTCCATCCTATTTGGGCTAATATTACGTATTTGGTGCGCAATAAAAGGCGAATCAGACGAAGATATACATAGAAACTTTATCCAAATATTGGCCGATTATCTCCATTTTTATGCTTGAGTCAAACAAATGATTGATGCAAAATTTTATCTCAATCGGCAGTTAATGTGACCTGAGCTTTGTTCACAAAAATACATGGACAGACAGATTGAGGGATAGGATGGACCATAAATCGATTCAGAAAGTGATTCTACGAGGATCCTCAAAAGTAACTATGAATCTATCTCGTTTCTTTCTCCACGTTGCAAACAAATTCACAATGTGGTGTAGGGCATAAAAATCAAGATACAATCAAAAACCCGTACACAACTCGGAATAATAGTGGGTAGTGAAATTAAGAAAAAAACCTTTTCTCAGCGAACGTCCCGGCACACATCGACATCCAAAAGTCAAACCTCAAAAGAAGAAACCGCGATACTCAACTTGATTGTTCAGGAGTTTTCCACCATATGAGTAGCGGAACTAGATAAGGCGTCTCCGTCTCTATTTAAATTTGATCGTTTTCTTCGATGATTGACCAAAATTCGTGGGTCTAAAGCCTGGAGGTATGAAAGTTATTTGTTTAACTTCCTGAAAAGTTGAGTTACGCAATATCAGCATCAATAAAATTAAACGAACTGTCGACAACATCCCCCTCCGAAATTATTTTTTTAGAAAAAATGTGGAATTAAAGAGGGTCAAACAATTTAGGTTTAAATTGTAATGTATATGATTACCTTCTTTTTTGAGGTACAGGCATAAAGCACGCATTGAGCTCAGTTCAGGGTTTGGAAGTCTCATAGTTTTCCGTGTGTTAGCCGTACAAGGCTATTCCTTTTATTTGTTTGTCTTTTTTATTTCTTAAAAAAAGAACAATTCAATATTCAATTCGACGATATCGCGAAATATAATTATCCCACTAATACAAATAAACAAAAGGACGAATACTTACGTATTGGGATCTTGCAGGACCATATTCTTCAAATGTCCTCTACATTTTCAATTTTATTTTACAAATTTATGACAAAATTTGAATTTATTGGGCTTACCCCAATCAGCACAACTCATAATGAAATTAAATAAAAAATTAACAAAATAATGGTTATGGAAACTCTGACATATCAAAGCTTATCGGAAATGGACGAAAGCTTTAAATTTATTTTTTTTTTAAAACTTATTCAAGACCTATATAAGGTCGACCAGGAAGACCATCTGACAACCAAGATTTCTGTAAAATATATTTTGAATTCGCCCAATTCGACCTATAAATACAAAAGCACATTTGTAACGTTCATGTCAAGAAAATTTAGAAATAATTTAAAGATTTTGAAAGTAAATCTAAATAAATAATATCACAAAAAAGGAAAAATTGTGCGAGTTTTAACTTAAAATGAGAATTTGCAACACATGCAGAAGGAAAGAGCTTCAAGAAGGCATCCTTTGTTTGCCAGGAGTAATGTTTGGCAGGTAGAGTTTAAACCAACGTCTTCTGAATGATCTCAAAACTTCAACGTTGGTCATGTGGTGAAATCTAGTAAGATATTTAGACTGCTGCCTATAGCTTTGCACACAAATGGAACTTCCACTGGAAGATATCGATGAAAAACTTAAGATTTTCCTAATACAACAAAATCGATTCATCAAATTCTGACATCCCAATAAAAGTACCAGTGCTAGGTCAGATACGAAAATGAACGATAACGCCCTTCTCTAACAAGTACCTCCACCACATTGTGGCACAATTTTCAATATTTATCTCTCATAACAAATACGAATCAACGATTCTTTTCAAATTTTGTGAATTTGGAATTTATCGTCCTTTTGGATCATTCCCATAGAAAAGTTCAACATTCTAACTTGTTTTCCTTTCCACTGTTTTTTTTTTTTTTTGACAATAAAGAAATTTGCCGTGATTATTACATATCAGGACGAAACATTTTTTTTCGCCTAAAAAAAATATTGACATTGAACTTAATAGAAAGAACCGTATTTTTTACCAAATCGCTTCCTGGCCGACCTTATATAGGCATTGCCCATATTAAAACGAACGATGCGAGTGAAAGTAACTTTTTTGCTAAAACAGACTGTTAAGGGGAGAAACAAGATGAGACAATTAAAAGCAGAATGTCCGCGGCTTAGAACCCTCTTGATGGGTGGTGATGGTATAGCCGAGGTAAGTAAATGGTCAGAATTGGAACACCACAGAGCAGAGGTGTCATGGCGAGTAGTGATCTCGAAAAGTTCGAAAGTGGCAAGAACCACCCCCTATCCGACTAGCTATAGCCGCGTAAAAACGTCAGCATGCCGGCAGACGCCGCCCAAGAACATAAATTACAATATTTTCATTTTTCTAAAACACAAAATTTAATTATACACGGTGTCGGAAATAGAATCAATTTTAGAATAAGTTTAGATTTGGTCGCTTTTAACATGAATTATGGCATGATATATGGCCTTCAAAAAGCCAATGAAACCGTCACACGCTGCCCGAATGTTACTCTGCGGTATTTTGACCCATTCCCAGCGAAACGCTTGCTTGAGGTGGCACTTTGGTATTTTTAGTGCCAACTTTGCTTTCCTCACAATACTACAGACACAATAGTTCAACGGATTGGTATCCACATTCACATTTAAATGCTGGAGTGTTCAAACCATAGCCACTTGTGGTTTTCCGGCCAAATATAAGGAAATCACACTATCAGACTTAAATTTCATCGCGAATAACTTTTTTTTTTGTTGGAAAATTCTCACCAAAATGCTTTTGTACGCTTGCAAACAATATAATGAGCTATCACTGGAATAGTGTTGACAGCTGTCCGACAACACATTGTTTTTTATACCCTTCACAACATAGTGGTAAGGGTATTGTGTCTTTGTGCTTTAACATGAAAATGGAAGCGAAGACACAAATTTGCTGTTGAGGATCTTCTAAGAATCACATTCTGAGTCGATTTATACATGTCAGTCCGTCCGTACGTCCATGTATTCTTGTGAACAAAATGCAGGTCGCATTTATTATCGGATTTAGATGCAATTTTGCAGACAACATTTGTATGGGCCAAGGATAAAGAGTATTTAAATTGGTGATAATCGGATCAGATTTGGATATAGCTCCGATATATCTTCAACCGATTTCGGGTTAATTGTGCACCAAATGGCTATTATAAGTCCAAATGACGTGTATTTTGGTACATCTCTCCGAATTCAGTCTAGAAGCAAATAAATCAAATCCGGTTCAACAGACCCTCACATGCGTAATATGCACTCCACAAGAATGATATTTGGTATCGAACACCAGATACTACTTGAAACTACCTCTGCAAAATTTTATCGAGAACGGTTCTGATTAGGAAATAGCTCCAATATATATCCTTAATCCGATTTCAGGCTTATTGTGCAAATAATATCTAATATCAGTCCAAATGGAGTGAATGGACGTCCGTTTCCATTTGGTGCAACTCGGCTCCGTTACATATATTTTTAATATAATCCTTCTCCAAGTGATATCATGCACTCTATACAAAACTATAACTGCACTAAAGCCAAATGTTGATAGGTGGTATGATCTACTTGAAATAAGCTATTTTGTTACGGGAGCTCTACTAAATATGCATAGTAGTGTAGGGTATCATACAGTCAGCCCCGCCCGACTTTTGACTTTTCCTTACTTGTTTCGATATTGTTTTGAATCTGCAAATATTAAGCTATGAACAATATCGTAAGCAAATTCTCTCTGGAATGGGTTTCGTTGAAATAAACAAATATACATTTTAGACGATATTATGCTGAGGGAATGAGAATAACATATTTAATTATTATTATATTTATTTTACATTTGATTTTATTATAATTATTTTATATGTTTAATTTATTTTTCCATTTCACAGTAAAATAACCCATCCTAATGGCAGTAAACCACAACATTAACATTCTCTCTATTGTCTGCCATACTCGTATTCCAGTTGCGGTTAAATGATAAAAACAAATTCGCATTTGCTAGACAACCAATCAAATATTGGGTGGGTGGTATTGGAGTGGAAATTGAATAGCTGAATAAAATACCACAAATAATGTTGTGTAAATAACTGTTCGTAATAATGCCGGGGGTCTGACAATAGGTCGTATGGAATACGAGTTCAGTTTATGTGCTCAAAGCGGTATTTGAACTATAAAGTTCGGTGATTTTTTTTATCACGAAGCTATAATTTTTGAATCTTAAAAACTTGGACCAAAATTTATTTATTTTTTTTTTAATTTTATTCGATACAACCTAGGGATTTACAAGCCATTATTTGTCAAATATTAAATCAAATCATTAGATAATTACTTGCCACTATTTTTCTGTCAATGACCAATACAAGCAAACACAATAAATATTAAATAAATAAAGTGGCAAATTAGTTTTAATCGTAATTTTTATATAAATAATACTTACCAAATGACAAACTCAAATCTCTTTTTATGTCCTGGGGCCTATTATATTTGTCATTTTGTTTGTAACTAACTAAAGTAACATGGCTATCTTCGTATTAAACTTTTTTAACATTGCACTTTTACTGATTTTACACAGGATTGTTGTTTTATTTTTACAATCAAGGGTGAAGGCTAAAAATAGTGATTTTTGCAACATTCTCCAACAGGTGAGGTGACATTTAAAATTTCGGGTTTATAGTGATCCGAGAACTTTTTTCAAGAAATTGGATAGATGGATCCACATTTTGCAGGTTTTCACTACATTTTTAAAAATTTGGTATTTGATTGTGGTTAAACACGATATTCAAGGACATGACCGCATTTTCTTCTACATTTGCCTGTAATTTGGTTTTTGATCTCACTGATTACATAACCTCTCACTGATTACATTTGCGTCTGATTTATTATTCTATTTAAGTATTCAAATTAAAATAAAGATTTTGTCGATAATGGAAATTGTTAATTTTTCGGAACAAAAAAGTATTGTCAACATTTAATTTTGTGGTACCACAAGAATGATGTAAATGGCATCACAGTAGGCAATCAATTATTTAGAAACAATGAAAAGCTTCAAGATGTACTGAATAAATACCTTTGGAATGGAAACGAATAAATAATGCCAAACTTAACCAGTAAGGAAAGGTCAAAAATCGAGCAGGGCCGACTATATCTAGACCTCCCGTAACAGAAAAAGTTTATATTGGGAATTTGTGTGAAGTAGATCATACTAAGAAACTTGTTTGAATGCGTATCGAGGCTTCAGAGTAGTCAAAATTTGGGAACTATATCCAACTCTGAATCAATTTTCAACAAATGTGACTGAGGCTTACAAAATTACTTTGCAGTGTAGTGCATGATATGACTATGATAAGAATTATATTAAAAATCAGTAAGGAAAATCAAAAGTCGGGTGGGGCCGAATATGTGACACCCTACATAACTTTGCATATTAAGTGGAGCTCCCTTAACAAAAGAATAGCTACCGTAATATTTCAAATAGATCATACCACCCATCAACATTTAGCTGTAGAGCAGTTATAATTTTCTAGTGCATGATATCGCTTGGAGAAGGATTATATTGCAAATTGCACAAAATGGAAACGTACGTCCCAAAATTCACTCAATTTGGGCTGATATTAGCCATTATTGCACAATAAGCAAAACAATAAACCTGAAATCGGATTAAGGGTATATATGGAAGCTATATCCAAATCTCAGCCGTTCTCGATAAAATTTGAATTACTTGCCTCTAGACTGATTCGGTCGGATGTACCAAACTTCAGAATTTTTGGACTGATATTGGCCATTTGGTGCACAATTAACCTCAAATCGGTTGAGGATATATATGGGAGCTATATCCAAATCTGAACCGATCTTCACAAAATTTGATACATATATTTCAGAGCAGTATCTGTTATCTGGTACCAAATATCGTTATGTGGTGTAGGGTATAAATATTTGTTGGAGTAATATACATACCGGACCAAGTTTCACCACATAGAAAAATCCGGTTGAATATAAAAAAAACTATCCAATTTTGCTGATATTAAATACATTGTGGACAA